CCCGCTTTACCCGACTCCCTGGCTCCGTTTCCCTGCTTCCCTGCTCGCCTTCATCCCGTACCGTGACACAAGGTTCCTCAAGGTCCCTCAAGGTTCCTCAAGGTTCCTCAAGGTCCCTCCCTTGTGTTTCTTCAAATATTGAAGCCTTGCAGGTCAACTTGCAGATACTTTTTTTTATAGAAAGTGCAATTAGTCTTGTTTCTCTTCAGTTTTGATGGCTTCAAACAGCTGACCGGAAGTAGGAAAGTGCTGGTTTGTGTTTAATCTGTAGGGTTTAGATCTCCAGCCACATCTGGGTAGATGGGTTGTCCCTCTCAGCAGCACCATACAATGGAAAATCTGTGCTGATTCACACAAACTCTCTGTCTCTCCCCTTCTATGTCTCCCCTTCCTTTTCACATCACTTGCATTTTTGCACATTGCCTTGCACATCTGCACCGCTCACACAGTGTTGTGTTATTCTTTTGGTCTCAGTGTTTTTTCGGTATTTTATATTTTTTATTCAGTATATATTTTATTACACTCTTGTATGCTTAGATATATTATACCTAATGTAATATATAATACATTCTGTATTTATACAGCTGCACAGTCAGTGAATCTGCCAGAACAAGCACTTCACTGTATTTTGTACAAGTACAACCGCATGTGCCGAATAAAACTTTGAACTTGAACTTGGTGGTTTTTACAGTGTAGGCAGAAGCTTTGTTAAAATCCACGTTTGGCCGTTGCTCCTGTGAAAACTCCCTTCCATTTGGAAGAAAGCCTTCCTGCAGTGTTCTCCTTCACTCCGTGGCATTTATTGAGCAGCTCACCAGCACCACCAGATGAAAGGCTTCCCAGACCATAACACCTCCTCCACTCTTCTCTACAGTGTTGATGCATTGAACTCAAACCGTAATTAATGACTCCACACACCTCTGCTGTAACCATTCCGCAAATTCGGTACCCTGTCCAAAATTCTCTCCTTTTTATTTTTTTCTGGAACAGTAGTGGCTTTTTAACACTTAAACCCAAACTGCCTAAATGTGTGTGTCTGTATGTACGGGTGGGTCATATATATATTACATTGTGGGGACTAAATGTCCCCATAATGTNTCCACACACCTCTGCTGTAACCATTCCGCAAATTCGGTACCCTGTCCAAAATTCTCTCCTTTTTATTTTTTTCTGGAACAGTAGTGGCTTTTCAACACTTAAACCCAAACTGCCTAAATGTGTGTGTCTGTATGTACGGGTGGGTCATATATATATTACATTGTGGGGACTAAATGTCCCCATAATGTGATATAAACGTGTTATTTTGACTACTGGGGACCATTTTTTCGGTCCCCATAAGGGGAAAACTGTCAATACAATAAAAAAAACAATGTTAAAAGTATTTTGTTTGGTTACTTATTGTTAAGGACAGGGCCGCATAGAAGTTTAGGTTGTGATTGTTAGGATTAGGGTTTTTCTCTCAGAAGTGAATGGACCCACAAAGATATGAATACAAGTGTTTGCGTTTGTGTGTTTTTGTGTATGTGTGTGTTTGCAGGGGCATTGCTTAAGATTGTGGGCCCCTGATAGCATACCAATCCAATTACTTTCCAAATTTTTTAGGGCTCTTGGAATCATCCTAACTCTCCCCTTCCCTTATCGTGCCCCCTGTGTGTGTGTGTGTGTGTGTGTGTGTGTGTGTGTGTGTGTGTGTGGATTTGCATAGATCTCATTTGAGGACCAAATTGTCCCCAAAGTGTAGTAAAACCTGAAATGTCCCTACTTTTGGGTACATCTTTTGAGGTCCTCATTTGGATAACCTCAGTTTTATAAAAATCTGTGAATGCAATCAAATAAATAAAAATGCCAAAAGTCTTGCATTTGGGTTGGTTACTTATGGTTAAGGTTAGGGATGGATAGAGGTTAATGGTGTCATGATTGGGATTATGGTTTTTCCCATAGAAATGAATGGACGGTCCCCATTTAGATAGGAAGACCAACTTGTGTGTGTGTGTGTGTGTGTGTGTGTGGGTGGGTGGGTGGGTGCCCTGTCTTGGGTTATACCCTGCCTTGTGCCCATAGCTTCCAGGATATTTTGTGGTTCCCCACAGTCCTTCAAAGGACAAGAGAGTACAGAACATAGAAGGAGAAATACAAGGAGAATGTACAATGTGAATTACCCTGGTTAAAGCTTTTTGTAAAACATTATACCAAAAGGTGCAATATGTCCTGATATTACACATTTTGCATTGGTTGAGAGTTAACTTCCTGACCCAAGTAAACCAAGAGCACCATCTAGTGGGGTCAGAAAATACAGCAAATGGTTCATGAAGCATGGTTTTGACCACCAATGCTCCCGACTCTCGACAATCCAGTTAACTAAAAGTAAGTGAAGTCAGCACTGGAGCCTGTGGAAGGCGCTATATAAAAATAAATTAAATTGAACTGAACTCTTATTATGGTTATGTTTTTTTCCCTGAGGGCCAAACACAAAGCTGAGGGCCTCTGCCCCCTATATTATTCTATTGTGTTGGTTTAAGTTGTTTTTTATGCAGCTATTATTCTTAACTATTGTTAGTGGCAGTAGCTAAGTAGTAGCATAGGTAGCAGTAGTAGTAATAATAATAATAGCAGCATTAGCATTTAGCATTGGTAAAATAAAACAAAATTAGTCAGTCCAGTCAGACTTGGATTGTCTGTTTTCATCATTAATTTATTTTTTATACCTCGAACCATAAATCCTACTCTTTATGTGGAATTTGCATGTTTTGTTTTTGTTTTGTTGCAGTGGTTGTGTTCTATTCTCCTACATTTTTTTTTGCAGTGGTCGTTTTCTATTCTCATTCTTGTCAGACCTCGCTGCTACTTGAACATTCAGCGGCCGCTTCAGAGTGAAGAGTGCAGAAGGTCTGTGACTGGATGGTAAGGCTCGCTTATCTAAAACGTGATTACACTGATGAATGTGACACGTTTCCCGCGGACCAAACATCTGACTCCCGGGGACCACACTAGTCCCACAGGCTGCCTATTGGAGAACCTCATTTTAGGGTAACATGTTACTACAAATGATATAAAAATCTCTAGTTTTTTTCTGAATTATGTTCACTTGCTATTTATTTCCATAACAGGAGTAAATATGTGGGGCATTAAAATTGGTTGAAAACACTTTTTGTTGACTGCATTCCAAGAACACCTCAGACTCCTGCCAAATTTTTATAATCACAATGCTCCTAATATCCACAGTTCAAATAAATCTGCAAACTGTAAATGTGTCATTGATTAATCTGGAGAGAATTTATTAAATCCGAAAGCGTAAATGGTAAACAAGCCATTTCTTTTATTTTTTGGTTAATGGTGCTGTTTTGGGGAAAAAAAATCAATTTGATTATTTGACAGTTACCTCTTGTCCACTCTGTAAGGCAACAGCGTAGAACACATTCAAATTAGGCAGTCAGTCCCTTAAGCGCCTTGGCCGTGAAGAGAGTAATAGTAATACACAATAGTAAGGAATATGTTTGGCATTGTCAAGTCACGTTGCAATGTGATGTCCCATTCCTATTTATATCATTTTGAGCCCATGCAGTCTCTTGCCCTAAATCACTTACCAGGAAATGGCAATTAAGTTTGTAAGGGTTCATGGTTTAGGCCTTAGGGGGGACATTGGGATTGAGCTTATGACTATGACTATGACCATGCTTAGTAGTGAGTAGTAGTGAACCACTCACCACCCTAGTAATAAATATAATTAATAAAATGCAAATAACTTTTGTAAAAGTGATAATACCAAAACAAAAAAAACATAAGTCAAAGGATGTGATTTGTCAAAGACAAAGCCTGTCAGAATGTTTCCTTTTAAAAATGTACAATAGTAACTTTATCATATTGTAACAATATAATATAGTATAATATAATATAATATAATATAATGTGTAGTTTCATGCTTATTAAATCCCCTGCATTTACTTGCTAAAAACACAGTATTGCAAGAGCAACACAGACCACAACTACCTCGTAATATCAGTTAAAGTGTTGTGAGATTTGGAGTCTAAATATACCCGCAGAGCAGCCCTTGTCAGATGCTCCGCTCTGGCGCGCGAGAGGTGACAGGAAACAGTCTCGAGACTGTCAGTTTGAGTTTTTCGGCTAGAGCTTAGTAGCCTCCAAAAACAAAACACTGCTGAGAAAATAGGGAATAGTGGATCTTTTCGAGGATGGAGGTAAATAAAACTTACGTTTTTAATAAACTTATGTATAAACTATTTTCATGTATGGACATGTTTCATTTCAGTAAGTATAGTATTTGAAAAGGAAACTTGACCGTTGATGTGTACTTCTTTCTTTATGAAAACCGAAAACACTCATGAAAACGTACATATAAAACTTTTAACTATATTAATTATTAATTGTAACTTCAGAGATACGTATTCGCAATTAACTTTGAAAGCGGTTGAATAAATGTGATATGGCGTCGAACTGTGTATAAAATAGAATAATGTAACTATAAGGCGACACTTGTCCATTTTGCGCGAAATATTTTCTAAATATGTAAATATTTACATGTAAATGTATATTATGTATTATGTATAGTTTTCGCAACGCTTGGATTTAACCAAATAGTTTGAAGTTTAGTTATATGCATAATGCTTAGGTCTGCAAGGAAGGGGACCTTTAGTTCTGACCTAACCAGTAATAATATTAATGATTGGGTATGTGAAGTACCTGTGAGTAACTGAAAATTAACTGACCCGGTGCTGTTGCGAATGTTACGAAAGTGTTGTTTTTTTTTGTGTGTGTCAATGTTACCAGATTAACAGGTACAATTAAACAAGTAAATATAAAAGACTATCGAGTGTGGTTAACGGTAGGGGAATTTCCATCTGAGTTCAGAAATAAGTTTTCTACCACTTCCGTTTCTTAACGTTCCAAAAATGTAATTAAAAACAGTTTAAAATGCGTATACTAAAAGTATAGTGTCCTTCTTTTTTACCATGCTGCGAAATAATTATATGAGTAAGTATAGTGAGTAAAAATGATATTATTGATGATGGTAACTTTAAGTTGATACAGGCAGAATCATCCTTGCTATCGCACTGCAGTCTTAGCGGAGTTTTTAATGAGAGCCTTTGCTTCGCTGTTCGCTTAGAGGGAACTTCACATGATGGTCATATGATCATACGGCAAAACCACTGTTCCTAAATACAAAAGTACAATATTCAGTTTCTTGTTTTTCATGCGTTGTACCTCAGAGTATATTTCTGTTACAATTCCAGCTATTGGTCCTTGTATAAGGATTCCTTGTGTTCCTTGTTTAAGAAGCATGGTGTAATTTCCCGCTCCGCCTGAGCGTAGAGTTTGCATACTTCCACTGTGACATGCTGGTCTTGCCTCACAATCCAAAAACGTGCAGTTAGTATAAGTAGGTTCACTAAATCACCCTTAGTGTATGACTGTGTGAGTGACTGTGTGTGTGTTTACGTGCCCTGCAATGGCCTGGCATCGCATACAGAGTGTTCCTATTCTGACTGCGATAGGTTCCAGCCAGGTCCTGCCCACAGCCAGGACTGGGACAAGTGATTAGAAGGTGAATGGACGTCATTTCTTTGTGACCTGGGATATCGGACCCAAACCATAGCATTATATACCTGCATTTAGATGTAATTGCAGGGCCCTATCTGTGACTAGAACCAGCAACCTTTTGAATATATATCAATAGGCCTATATCAGACATCCCACCTTTCCCGGAAGTTCAGGGAGTCTCCCGCAGATTGGCATTGGCTCACTGACATCCACAAACGATGCGCTATGTTGTTCCGCTATTCAGTGGTGGTAAAATTAGCTGGCAAGAAGTTTTACTGCTCCAGCCTCGCCCCAAATTTTACGTCTCTCTCACCCCAGTCGGTTATATATACACACACACACACACACACACACACACACGGTATTACCATCATACCAGCCCAGCACTGGCCAGCACCGCGCCTTCCCAGACGCCCCTCATCTGCCTCCCTGAAATCAGTATCCCTAACATGGGATGTGTGATATATGCGTAGCCTTTCAAGATTTTATGACACTTTCAGGCGTTGGTTATTTAAGAGGAAGAACAATTTTACACAAAATGTTTACCCTACAAGGCAAAGAAACGTGATTGTGTAACTGAGATGCTTTGCGATACATGCTGATATGAGATGTCTTAGAAACGTTACTTTGCTGCTAACTGTAGTATCACCTGTTGGTTTTCTGAAATACTACAAAAGGATTTCAGCAGTGTACTGATTATTGTTAAACTATGAAAAAAGACAGCTGAATGAACAATAACCCTTGTGATTTTACAAGTAGAGTGTTTATGTTGTGTTACTCTTGTTCAGTAGAACCCAGGCTTAGACCGTTATTAATTAAAAACCGCAATGTATCCTTATCAGAATAAAGCCGAAACGCATTCTGTTTGTTTGCTTGTGGCTTTTACAGAGACCTTCCATCTACTGCACTCCCTCCTTTATGATTTTTTTCAGAGCAGGGGTCTTGTACTTGTATGTAAGTGGTTCTTAATTTTTGTAAAGCTGGTGACTAGTCAGAATCAATGTGTTTGACGGTTCTTGTCTAAAATTGCTAGACATGTAATTTAAATGGAACTAGGTGGGTAATGCATGACTCTTTAGGGTCAGACTCTGCAGTCGGAAGGTCACTGGTTCAAATCCCCTGGCTGGCATAGTGATTTAAACACTGGGACCTTGAGCTAGGCCCTTAACCACAGCTACTCTAATGACACTGGTTGGCCCTACTGTGTATATACATCATTTTAGACAAAAAACATCTGCAGATAAAAATGAACATCGTTGCGTGGCACCTCCTAGTTTGGGGATTTGAGTCTGAGCGTTGCGTATACTTCTGTGTCTCCTCAGGACACTCCCATAGTCTAAATCATGCAGTCAATTGAATTGGTGACTCTGAACTGCCCATAATGTCTAACCGTGCGCCCTGTGCTGGAGGGGATGTAGGAAATGGAAGATTGGATGAATGGCATGCATGTATAACTCTGAAAACTGAAGTCTGCCATCCCATCCATGGTGTTCCCCCTCCCTGAGTCCTTTGCTGCCCAGGTTAGAATTTACCACCCCCCCACCTGGAACTGGAAAATTGGCTGGAAGATGAATGGATGTTTATATTTTTAAGCAGAAATAATACATACTTAACTACTTACTTCAGTGTTTCAATGTAACCCTCATGGCCCAGCACAGGACAGCTGGGTCTTGAAAATGGATGGATGTTTGGTTAAGGTGAAGCCTTTTCAGCAGATCTGGTATTCGGCACTAGTCCTGACATTTGGTTGTACCAATGATAGTTTTGGAGAAGAAATTCTGTCTGATGGGGATTAACCACAATCAGATTAACAATAATCAGGTCCAGACTCCAATTTTTTTTTACTATTAGTAATCTTCTATGAGTCTGGCATAGCACTAAGCCTTCATCGGTGTGTGATAAGGATTAACCAACAAATAAATAAATTAATATGCTGAGTGAGAAACAGTTATAAGGAAAAGGTCAACTGTGATGCTATAAGGAAAGGATCTCTCTCAGTAATTACCCCCTGTGTTGTGGTGGAATAGGGATGCAGTTGTTGAAAATGACGACCAGAACCTTAGAAGCCTCATAGACAAAGCCAGAAGTCTGCCTCGGTTGATATAAAGCGTCATGTGTAAATAGGTAGCAATGTGATCCAAGCATCTAATATTGGGGAGAAGAGGTGATTTTATCTACTCGAGGAGTCATTTAAAGACGTGGCAAGGGGTTTGAAAAGAGTTCTGCATGCCACTGCATAAGAAGATTTGAAAACATATTGTCTAAACCAGTGTTTCCCAACCCGGTCCTCGGGGATCCACAAGACGGTCCACGTTTTTGCTCTCTTGTACCTTCCAGACTGTCCACAACATGGACTGCCAGTGGGTCCCCCAGGACCGGATTGGGGAATACTGGTGTAAACCATGATAGAGCTGAGTCATCAATATCCACATTTTACAGGAAGTACAGAAGGGTGTGATACTCTTCATCATAAACACAGCTGAAATCAAGGAAGAAAGATGACCAGCATGGTTTGCAGCTCTTGCAAACTGATTAGCAGTGGAGATGCAGGGGAGGACAGTCTAGCCTTTAAACTAGACTAGAGGAGGTTATAGAGGTTAGTCTGGGAGAGAGAAGAGCAGATCAACAGGGATCTGTCCATCTATAATCACTCAGAGAATGTGTGCAAGTATTTTCCAGACTATTGAAAAAGTGTGGAGCAGATAGAGCAGGATGCTACTATCCAGCAGACAAAACCCTGAGTTGAATAAAAAGGGAAGTGAGAAAGAGGTGTTGAGTGGGTGGTTTCAGGAAGTTAAGAAAGAAGCTCTCATGTGAGCAATCTTAACGTACATTGCAAAATCATCTGCAGCAAAAGAAGGGGGATACCGTGCAGTGGTGCAGTAGTATTATGTGATATTATTTTCAAATGTATTTATTGTTTATTAGAAGGCTGGAGAAATTGGCAGAGATGCCTTTATATTTCAACCCAACAACTTTCTGTTTATTTTAGAACCGTTTATGACTTCTTGTCCAAAGCTTATACCATAAATGTGAAGAGACAGTTGAGAAGCTCTGTGATATACTTCGTAGACTAGGCCAATGCACTCAAAGACCTAACTGAAGATGTATTTCTCGGTTTGCATAATAAACCCTGTAATACTGCGCCGTTCACAGAGAGGGGAAATTCTGCAAGATCAGTTGCAGCTTGCCTACAGGTTAAGATGTGGTGATTGTGGGGTCATGGTGTGGATATTTCAGAGGCAGGCAAGGTTGCTTAAAAGCCCCTCTAGTCATCCGTAATTCCTTTAGAACTGGTTAATTTAAGGTTGTTCTCATGTTGGGTTGGTTGGCATAGGTTTGGAAGCAGTGATCCAGCTCTCATGCCATTTATAGTTGGCTCTTCAGGTTCGAGAGTAAAATGTGATTTTTATGGCTGGTGCACCTACCAGTTGCACCATCAAGGTGCCAACATGAAATCTATGTATCCATCTTCCACATTGTCTCCATCTTCCATATTGCTGTGTCCCACGAAGGGCCTGGTTTTTTTACAGTGATAAATTGGCTTCTTTCTTTGTAGGTTTCTAGATTTGCAGTGAGGAATTATGAAAGGAGAAGTTATTTAGTGACAAGGGCCTGTGATAAGTCAGTTTTTTTAGGT